CTGTGTGTTAGGCTGTGTGTTAGACTGTGTGTTAGGCTGTGTGTTAGACTGTGTGTTAGACTGTGTGTTAGGCTGTGTGTTAGACTGTGTGTTAGGCTGTGTGTTAGGCTGTGTGTTAGGCTGTGTGTTAGACTGTGTGTTAGACTGTGTGTTAGGCTGTGTGTTAGGCTGTGTGTTAGACTGTGTGTTAGACTGTGTGTTAGACTGTGTGTTAGACTGTGTGTTAGACTGTGTGTTAGACTGTGTGTTAGACTGTGTGTTAGACTGTGTGTTAGACTGTGTGTTAGACTGTGTGTTAGACTGTGTGTTAGACTGTGTGTTAGGCTGTGTGTTAGGCTGTGTGTTAGACTGTGTGTTAGGCTGTGTGTTAGACTGTGTGTTAGACTGTGTGTTAGACTGTGTGTTAGGCTGTGTGTTAGACTGTGTGTTAGACTGTGTGTTAGACTGTGTGTTAGACTGTGTGTTAGACTGTGTGTTAGACTGTGTGTTAGGCTGTGTGTTAGACTGTGTGTTAGACTGTGTGTTAGGCTGTGTGTTAGACTGTGTGTTAGGCTGTGTGTTAGACTGTGTGTTAGGCTGTGTGTTAGACTGTGTGTTAGACTGTGTGTTAGGCTGTGTGTTAGGCTGTGTGTTAGACTGTGTGTTAGACTGTGTGTTAGGCTGTGTGTTAGACTGTGTGTTAGGCTGTGTGTTAGACTGTGTGTTAGGCTGTGTGTTAGACTGTGTGTTAGACTGTGTGTTAGGCTGTGTGTTAGACTGTGTGTTAGACTGTGTGTTAGGCTGTGTGTTAGGCTGTGTGTTAGGCTGTGTGTTAGGCTGTGTGTTAGGCTGTGTGTTAGGCTGTGTGTTAGGCTGTGTGTTAGGCTGTGTGTTAGACTGTGTGTTAGGCTGTGTGTTAGACTGTGTGTTAGACTGTGTGTTAGGCTGTGTGTTAGGCTGTATGTTAGACTGTGTGTTAGGCTGTGTGTTAGGCTGTGTGTTAGGCTGTGTGTTAGGCTGTGTGTTAGGCTGTGTGTTAGACTGTGTGTTAGACTGTGTGTTTAGGCTGTGTGTTAGGCTGTGTGTTAGACTGTGTGTTAGACTGTGTGTTAGGCTGTGTGTTAGGCTGTGTGTTAGACTGTGTGTTAGGCTGTGTGTTAGGCTGTGTGTTAGGCTGTGTGTTAGGCTGTGTGTTAGGCTGTGTGTTAGACTGTGTGTTAGACTGTGTGTTAGGCTGTGTGTTAGGCTGTGTGTTAGGCTGTGTGTTAGGCTGTGTGTTAGGCTGTGTGTTAGGCTGTGTGTTAGGCTGTGTGTTAGGCTGTGAGTTAGGCTATGTGTTAGGCTGTGTGTTAGGCTGTGTGTTAGGCTGTGTGTTAGGCTGTGTGTTAGACTGTGTGTTAGGCTGTGTGTTGGGGTGTGAGTTAGGCTGTGTGTTAGGCTGTGTGTTAGGCTGTGTGTTAGGCTGTGTGTTAGGCTGTGTGTTAGGCTGTGTGTTAGGCTGTGTGTTAGGCTGTGTGTTAGGCTGTGTGTTAGGCTGTGTGTTAGGCTGTGTGTTAGGCTGTGTGTTAGGCTGTGTGTTAGGCTGTGTGTTAGACTGTGTGTTAGGCTGTGTGTTAGGCTGTGTGTTAGACTGTGTGTTAGGCTGTGTGTTAGGCTGTGTGTTAGGCTGTGTGTTAGGCTGTGTGTTAGGCTGTGTGTTAGGCTGTGTGTTAGACTGTGTGTTAGGCTGTGTGTTAGGCTGTGTGTTAGGCTGTGTGTTAGGCTGTGTGTTAGGCTGTGTGTTAGGCTGTGTGTTAGGCTGTGTGTTGGGGTGTGAGTTAGGCTGTGTGTTAGGCTGTGTGTTAGGCTGTGTGTTAGGCTGTGTGTTTGTGTGGCTGTGTGTTAGGCTGTGTGTTAGGCTGTGTGTTAGGCTGTGTGTTAGGCTGTGTGTTAGGCTGTGTGTTAGGCTGTGTGTTAGGCTGTGTGTTAGGCTGTGTGTTAGGCTGTGTGTTTGGGGTGTGTGTTAGGCTGTGTGTTAGGCTGTGTGTTAGGCTGTGTGTTAGGCTGTGTGTTAGGCTGTGTGTTAGGGCTGTGTGTTAGGCTGTGAGTTAGGCTGTGTGTTAGGCTGTGTGTTAGGCTGTGTGTTAGGCTGTGTGTTAGGCTGTGTGTTGGGGTGTGAGTTAGGCTGTGTGTTAGGCTGTGTGTTAGGCTGTGTGTTAGGCTGTGTGTTAGGCTGTGTGTTAGGCTGTGTGTTAGGCTGTGTGTTAGGCTGTGTGTTAGGCTGTGTGTTAGGCTGTGTGTTAGGCTGTGTGTTAGGCTGTGTGTTAGGCTGTGTGTTGGGCTGTGTGTTGGGGTGTGTTAGGCTGTGTGTTAGTTGTGTTAGGCTGTGTGTTAGGCTGTGTGTTAGGCTGTGTGTTAGGCTGTGTGTTAGGCTGTGTGTTAGGCTGTGTGTTAGGCTGTGTGTTAGGCTGTGTGTTAGGCTGTGTGTTAGGCTGTGTGTTAGGCTGTGTGTTAGGCTGTGTGTTAGGCTGTGTGTTAGGCTGTGTTAGGCTGTGTGTTAGGCTGTGTGTTAGGCTGTGTGTTAGGCTGTGTGTTAGGCTGTGTGTTAGGCTGTGTGTTAGGCTGTGTGTTAGGCTGTGTGTTAGGCTGTGTGTTAGGCTGTGTGTTAGGCTGTGTGTTAGGCTGTGTGTTAGGCTGTGTGTTAGGCTGTGTGTTAGGCTGTGTGTTAGGCTGTGTGTTAGGCTGTGTGTTAGGCTGTGTGTTAGGCTGTGTGTTAGGCTGTGTGTTAGGCTGTGTGTTAGGCTGTGTGTTAGGCTGTGTGTTAGGCTGTGTGTTGGGGTGTGTGTTAGGCTGTGTGTTAGGCTGTGTGTTAGGCTGTGTGTTAGGCTGTGTGTTAGGCTGTGTGTTGGGGTGTGTGTTGTAGGCTGTGTGTTAGGCTGTGTATTAGGCTGTGTGTTAGGCTGTGTGTTAGACTGTGTGTTAGGCTGTGTGTTAGGCTGTGTGTTAGGGGTGTGTGTTAGGCTGTGTGTTAGGCTGTGTGTTAGGCTGTGTATTAGGCTGTGTGTTAGGCTGTGTGTTAGACTGTGTGTTAGGCTGTGTGTTAGGCTGTGTGTTAGGCTGTGTATTAGGCTGTGTGTTAGGCTGTGTGTTAGGCTGTGTGTTAGGCTGTGTGTTAGGCTGTGTGTTAGACTGTGTGTTAGACTGTGTGTTAGGCTGTGTGTTAGACTGTGTGTTAGGCTGTGTGTTAGGCTGTGTGTTAGGCTGTGTGTTAGGCTGTGTGTTAGGCTGTGTGTTAGGCTGTGTATTAGACTGTGTGTTAGACTGTGTGTTAGACTGTGTGTTAGGCTGTGTGTTAGACTGTGTGTTAGGCTGTGTGTTAGGCTGTGTGTTAGGCTGTGTGTTAGGCTGTGTATTAGGCTGTGTGTTAGGCTGTGTGTTAGACTGTGTGTTAGGCTGTGTGTTAGGCTGTGTGTTGGGGTGTGTGTTAGGCTGTGTGTTAGACTGTGTGTTAGGCTGTGTGTTAGGCTGTGTGTTGGGGCTGTGTGTTAGGCTGTGTATTAGGCTGTGTGTGTGGGGTGTGTGTTAGGCTGTGTGTTAGGCTGTGTGTTAGGCTGTGTGTTGGGGTGTGTGTTAGACTGTGTGTTAGGCTGTGTGTTAGGCTGTGTATTAGGCTGTGTGTTAGGCTGTGTATTAGGCTGTGTGTTAGGCTGTGTGTTAGGCTGTGTGTTAGACTGTGTGTTAGGCTATGTGTTAGGCTGTGTTAGACTGTGTGTTAGACTGTGTGTTAGGCTGTGTGTTAGACTGTGTGTTAGGCTGTGTGTTAGGCTGTGTGTTAGGCTGTGTGTTAGACTGTGTGTTAGGCTGTGTGTTAGGCTGTGTGTTAGACTGTGTGTTAGGCTGTGTGTTAGGCTGTGTGTTAGGCTGTGTGTTGGGGTGTGTGTTAGACTGTGTGTTAGGCTGTGTGTTAGGCTGTGTATTAGGCTGTGTGTTAGGCTGTGTATTAGGCTGTGTGTTAGGCTGTGTGTTAGGCTGTGTGTTAGACTGTGTGTTAGGCTATGTGTTAGGCTGTTAGACTGTGTGTTAGACTGTGTGTTAGGCTGTGTGTTAGACTGTGTGTTAGGCTGTGTGTTAGGCTGTGTGTTAGACTGTGTGTTAGGCTGTGTGTTAGGCTGTGTGTTAGGCTGTGTGTTAGACTGTGTGTTAGACTGTGTGTTAGGCTGTGTGTTAGGCTGTGTGTTAGGCTGTGTGTTAGGCTGTGTGTTAGACTGTGTGTTAGGCTGTGTGTTAGGCTGTGTGTTAGGCTGCGTGTTAGACTGTGTTAGACTGTGTGTTAGACTGTGTTAGACTGTGTGTTAGACTGTGTTAGACTGTGTGTTAGACTGTGTGTTAGACTGTGTTAGACTGTGTGTTAGACTGTGTTAGGCTGTGTGTTAGACTGTGTGTTAGGCTGCGTGTTAGACTGTGTGTTAGACTGTGTTAGACTGTGTGTTAGACTGTGTGTTAGGCTGTGTGTTAGGCTGCGTGCTAGACTGAGTGTTAGGCTGTCCAATTTTGGTAGTACTTATAGTAACGATGAGGACCATAGTACATATACCGACATACAACACAATTAGAAAGTAGAAATCAGTACTTTTCAGTTGGACAAACCGGAAAACCATTTCCTACATATGTTGCATAAACAAACTAAATAACCCTAACCTTCCTAAACCTAATACCCGGTATCTGAGGCCTTAAATAGTATATATGTGTGCTATACTAGACCTAGGAATATTTTGATAGTTTTTTAGCTTCATTTCATTCGGACTTACAACGTGAATAGTGCCAAATTCTACTATGTAATAGCCTAATACGTCAATATTTGTACTATGGTACACATAGATACAAAAAATACTATCGAAACATGAGGATAGGTTGAATATTGTGTTATTTTCTTTTAACTGGTTCTTTTGTATCCAGAATAATGCTACGTTTTGTCATACTTCTGTTTATTATTTATTGTTCTATGTATACTTATTTCACCATGGGGGAGTGGAACTTGGTTTTCAAGGTCTTGTTGGAGTGTGAGCGTGGCTGGGGCTGGGCTGTGAAGGTTCGTTATTTGAGCAGATCTGAACGTCGAATATCGGTCGATTGTCGAATATTGTCGATTCACTGTCATTTCGACGTCTCAGGTTGGGTGAAGTGCGGTGTTCCTCGCCTGTACTGGGAGACGAGGCTAAAATTTATAAATAAATAAAATATAGCCTCGTGGCTGAGGCTTTGCCCCCCAAAAGTGATGGTTATTCTTCACTTGGTCCAACTGAGGCTGAAGATACAAGTTTTAATACAAGATACAAGTTTTGCACAGTAAACCACTGTTGTATAATACACCAGAGACATTCTGAGGGCATTGAGGTGTCATTGTAGGAACAGAAATAGATAGCGACAGTAATTATATAAATAATTAGCTTGATATAAATTGATAGATTTATATTAGTAGTATAAGTAAATTGCTTTCAGGAGTGTAAGAACTGTTGAATATATAAATAAATAAATACAACAAATTTGGGATTGGCCAAGGGGAGAAGAAACTGGATGACGTCATCGGTAGCCAATGGGGACGAAGGAAGGAAGTGACGTCACGTGTGGGCCGGGTTTATGGCGCCAGTTGTCAGCGTGAGGTCACAGGAGGAGCACGCAAATCCTCGCCGCTGACAACAGACTACATTTCTTGCAGTTTGGTGAAGAAATCTGTGACTTAGGACAGTGGTGTAGGCAAGAGGAGAGTGATTGTGGTGTTCCTGTGGGACCACAATGGCGGCGTGAAGCGCCAAGAGACGGTTATCGTTCCCTGGTAATCCAGGGTGGTTATCCAGACCTGGAAAAAAGAGGTCAGGTCCTCCCAGGTGAGGACCTGTTGACAGGTCAGCCCAGGTAATACCTGGGTGTTGACCCCCACACCCAAGTCAGCATAAAGAAATGGACAGTGACGGTCTAAATAAGAATTTTGGTCGACCTTGGAGATGTCAACTCCAGGCGCCATCTTGACATTGTGGCAGCAAGAGTCGTCGCTTCAGTTAATATGCAGTAAGTGTCTTGAGTTGCTACAGTTTGACTTGTACAGTGAGATTATACATATATTGATGCCTAGGCGCATGAATTAGGTATGTATACAATGATTATGAAGTGATATTGGAGAATTAAGATGAAATGGCATGAGGTAAGTCAGAGCGACACACCCTCACTCGACGGTGGTTGATCCATAACTGAGGCTGAGCAGTTCAGCGGACTCCAGGACCTAGATTCAGGAAGCTCTGTGTATTTCTTCGTCAGTGGGTTTGCTACGAAGGTTCCTAAGTGCGCCCTAAGAAGATGCTTAGGTGCGATTCAATAAGGTCCACTTAGGAAGAAAATTGTTGGTTCACCTGCGTGCCGATAGAGGTCACTACTGTGTTTCGTTTGGCCAATCAGAGAGCAGCAACATTCTTCATATTGAAGATTTAGCGCTGGCTTATCGCAGCTCTACTGCCTCCTATTTACGTCGAATTTTCTTATAAAATTAGTATATTTCGAAGTAAAACAATGTTTTTACAACTTCTACAGCCAGCACCGACATTGTAGTAAACAAATATGTTACATTTGTTGTTTACCTACGTAATTCTAAGAGATACTGTGTATCTGTCCTTGTTGCTCGGAAGACACGCTGACAATTATTGTATATATTTACTGAATTTACCCAAGGGCCACTAACTATCTAGTGGCCTCGAAGAGGACAGAAAGCCGGCGGCTTGTTAAAGGGCCCGCCAATTGTCTTAATGATATTTTTTAGCTGGAATTTGGCATTTACGGCTTCAGCGGGTAGGCGGTTCCATGGGTTTATAGCCCTCTTGGTGGAAAAAAACAAATGTTTTCAGTCCTACTTGAGAGAACATACTCTCCAACACTATATCTGTGATTGTCCTGTTATCAGTGACTTCATACCAAATGGTATGAGATATTTTGAGCTCTGTAATTACTTCATACACTCAGGAATATTGGAAGATATTCTTGTGCTGCACCCAGATTTTGCCAGTGGAGGCTAATAGATCAGCATTAAGTATTTTGTTCTCTCCTAATTCCATGTATGACTGGCCATCCTGTGCTGTATTATACTGTACTGTATTATCCTTATTAAATCATGTTGACCATGGATCATTAAGATCTCATGTTGATATGTAATAGTCATATTTCTTTTGAACTGCTAATCCATGCTAATCATTCATTAAATTGTGCATTATGTCTCAATTATTCACTTCCTTGGACATACTGTACAGTACAAAAAGATAGGATAAAAATAAACCAGTAATATTTCTTTCATTATATTTTTCATTTAAATAACTGCATCAATATTTTTACAGCTGACAGGATTTGTTTTACCATACAGGTGCATTATTTGTTAAAAAAAAATTTGGTTTATTGTTACACACAATGGTGCTACATAGCCTTCCCAGCTTGGTGCCTTCTTTTAATACTTAATGATTAAAAAATAAATAATAAATACATTTTATTCAGGAAAAGTACATACAGTTGATTTACAAACATAATGTTGGATTTATAGACAGAGCTAGTACATACAATACCTAAAGCCACTAATACTCATAGCATTTCGGGCAAGGTGTGGGGGAAAAAACACAGACTAAAACTTAATAGTAATCGGGATTAGGTATAAATTGTGTTGAAAGAAGGAATAAAAAATACAAAAAGGGGGGTTAGCATAGCATAACTCAGCAATTGCACATGTTGGTGAACAGCGTTGTTTAAAAAATAGCAAGACATGGGTTGACATTTAGGAGGTAAGTTAGGTTACATGGAGTTAATTAGGCAGTACCTGGTTTAACTCTTAAACTGGTTGAGAGAGGTACAGCCTTTGACATGATTCAGGAGGTCATTCCACATTCTGGGTCCCTTGATTTGTAGAGCACTTCTAGTTTGGTTACACACAGCCAAATTGAGTAACAGGAAGAGTTCTTGGACACAAATTTGTTCCATGCTAAATGTAGAGGAATCAGCTGAGTATTCCTCAAATAAAATAAGTTGCCTCAGCTTATAAGGTAAATAAAATAAGCATTTCTCAAATAAGTAGCTGCCTTACCTCACTGCCTTACTGCTACTATCCTTCCCGGCATGGTGCCTTCTTTTGATAATTACTTGTTCCACACCCAAATTGTATAACAGGAAGAGGTTTTGGACCCCTACTTCCCTCTCTCTTTTTTAATAGTCTATATAGTCATAATTATAGCTTTAAGTATTCGATGAATAAAGTTTGTGACATTTTTACCCTTTTCCTTACCTAACATCATTTGTGCAGCATATTTTTATTTTATGTCTCACCCAGATTTAATTTCAAAATAAAACCAAACTAAATAAATTAGAAATGGGTATGTATAGCTAAGGTACATTCTTACTACTAGGTGAACAGGGGCATTTGGTGATAGTAAATGATCCCATCAGGCAGGGCTCATCACCTCTCATATTTCATGTTCCCCAGTGTTTATTTACTTAATAACTACTGGTATAATATCTTGCTATTATAAAACTAATCCTACTATCATCAAACACATATTTACTTCAAGTTTCAAGCAGAGAATGCATATATAACTAACACGAAGGACTCCTCTTCACTAGATTCACCAGCTATAATATTTTGGTCATGTTCCAATATCATAAATCGATCTCAGTGTTATGTAGTAGAGAAAAAATGACTTATATCCAGTTTACGTAAAGCTACGAGTGGTCGAAACCACACTTAAATCCCGGAATGAACTTATGAAGGTTTTGCCACTTAGTGTAGCTACTTGAATACGGACGTAGCCGCCACGAAGGCGCTAAGAGGGAAAACGTTCGTACCTTCCTGAATCCGGCCCCAGGAGGAGAAATTAGGTGTAGACTCGCCCGGCGCGGGGGAGTACCCTTCGCGGTGAGAGTCAGCTGGGTGATGGCAGTAATGGAGAATTTATTATATTTGTCTGGTGGTTCATGGAAGGAGATGATTTTATGGTAACCTTGCTGGTTGGTGTGTGGTGGCTGCTGGTTGGTGTGTGGTGGCTGCTTAGGCTGGTGTGTGGTGGCTGTTTAGGCTGGTGTGTGGTGGGTGCTGGTTGGTGTGTGGTGGCTGTTTAGGCTGGTGTGTGCTGGTTGGTGGCTGTGCTTAGGCTGGTGTGTGGTGGGTGGTTGGTGTGTGGTGTGTTTAGGCTGGCTGCTGGTTGGTGTGTGGTGGCTGCTTAGGCTGGTGTGTGGTGGGTGCTGCTGTTTGGCTGCTGGCTGTGTGGGTGGGTGCTGGTTGGTGTGTGGTGGCTGTTTAGGCTGGTGTGTGCTGGTTGGTGTGTGGTGGCTGCTTAGGCTGGTGTGTGGTGGTGGGTGCTGGTTGGTGTGTGGTGGCTGCTGTTTAGGCTGGTGTGTGGGTGGGTGTGGTGGCTGGGCTGGTGGTGGTGTGGTGGCTGTTTGCTTAGGCTGGTGTGTGGTGGGTGCTGGTTGGTGTGTGGTGGCTGTTTAGGCTGGTGTGTGGTGGGTGCTGGTTGGTGTGTGGTGGCTGTTTAGGCTGGTGTGTGGTGGCTGTTTAGGCTGGTGTGTGGTGGGTGCTGGTTGGTGTGTGGTGGCTGCTTAGGCTGGTGTGTGGTGGGTGCTGGTTGGTGTGTGGTGGCTGTTTAGGCTGGTGTGTGGTGGGTGCTGGTTGGTGTGTGGTGGCTGTTTAGGCTGGTGTGTGGTGGGTGCTGGTTGGTGTGTGGTGGCTGTTTAGGCTGGTGTGTGGTGGGTGCTGGTTGGTGTGTGGTGGCTGTTTAGGCTGGTGTGTGGTGGGTGCTGGTTGGTGTGTGGTGGCTGTTTAGGCTGGTGTGTGGTGGGTGCTGGTTGGTGTGTGGTGGCTGCTTAGGCTGGTGTGTGGTGGGTGCTGGTTGGTGTGTGGTGGCTACTTAGGCTGGTGCACGGTGGGTGTATGGAGCAGGTGCACGGTGGGTGTACGGAGCTGGTGCACGGCGGGTGTACGGAGCTGGTGCACGGTGGGTGTACGGAGCTGGTGCACGGTGGGTGTACGGAGCTGGTGCACGGTGGGTGTACGGAGCTGGTGCACGGTGGCTGTACGGAGCTGGTGCACGGTGGGTGTACGGAGCTGGTGCACGGTGGCTGTACGGAGCTGGTGCACGGTGGGTGTACGGAGCTGGTGCACGGTGGGTGTACGGTGGCTGTACGGAGCTGGTGCACGGTGGGTGTACGGAGCTCGTGCACGGTGGCTGTACGGAGCTGGTGCACGGTGGGTGTACGGAGCTGGTGCACGGTGGCTGTACGGAGCTGGTGCACGGTGGGTGTACGGAGCTGGTGCACGGTGGGTGTACGGAGCTCGTGCACAGTGGGTGTACGGAGCTCGTGCACGGTGGCTGTACGGAGCTGGTGCACGGTGGGTGTACGGAGCTCGTGTACGGTGGGTGTACGGTGGGTGTACGGAGCTGGTGCACGGTGGGTGTACGGAGCTCGTGCACGGTGGCTGTACGGAGCTCGTGCACGGTGGCTGTACGGAGCTCGTGCACGGTGGGTGTACGGAGCTGGTGCACGGTGGATGTACGGAGGTTATATCTATCTTGAGGTTATCTTGAGATGATTTCGGGGCTTTTCAGTGTCCCCGCGGCCCGGTCCTCGACCAGGCCGCCACCCCCAGGAAGCAGCCCATGACAGCTGACTAACACCCAGGTACCTATTTTACTGCTAGGTAACAGGGGCATAGGGTGAAAGAAACTCTGCCCATTGTTTCTCGCCGGCGCCTGGGATCGAACCCAGGACCACAGGATCACAAGTCCAGCATGCTGTCCGCTCGGCCGACCGGCTCCCGTACGGAGCTCACAGCCATGGGATGACCAGATGGTTGACGGATCTATGGCTAGGCTGCAGGGGACAAATCGACACGAATTCTAATAGATTCTTTTACAGTCTCCGTGGTGTAGTGGTAAGACACTCGCCTGGCGTTCCGCGAGCGCTATGTCATGGGTTCGTATCCTGGCCGGGGAGGATTTACTGGGCGCAATTCCTTAACTGTAGCCTCTGTTTAACGCAACAGTAAAATGTGTACTTGGATGAAAAAACGATTCTTCGCGGCAGGGGATCGTATTCCAGGGACCATAGGATTAAGGACTTGCCCGAAACGCTACGCGTACTAGTGGCTCTACAAGAATGTAACAACTCTTGTATATATCTCAAAAAAAAAAAAAAAAAAAAAAAAAAAAAAAAAATTATCAGGATTTAATCCACGATTAATCACCGGGATTTTTTGTTTATCTATTATCGTTTATTTTGTATGACATCATTGTATAGGTATACTTCACGCAGTGAATGAAGGCGAATGTATTTTTCTTGTATTGATATGTATAACACAGCCTATGTTTAATGGTGACTAGTCCATGTAGCGTAGTGGTAAGACACTCGCCTGGCGTTTCGCGGGCTTTGTCCTGGGTTCGTATCCAGGCCGTGGAACATTTACTGGACGTCAATCCTTAACTGTAACCTCTGTTGACCCAACAGTAAAATGGGTACCTGGTTGGTACAAGATTTGGCGGGTCGTATTACGGGGAATATTAGTTTTAATGACTTGCCCGAAACGCTATGCATGCGAGTGACTACAAAAATGTAAGAACTCCTCCTGAATATATAAATTCAACAGTTCATGTCTTCATAAATAAATACATGAAATAAATACAATTAAAGCTGTGTAAGTCATGTCCAGTAAGATTGAGGACTAAGAGAACGGTAGCCTAGTGAAGCAGAACTTGGTGCAGAGAGACTGTATAATAATAAGAATTATTGAACCGGAGATCTGTGATACTGACTTTATACTACGATCTTGGGCAGTTGTTTGTGCATTGATCAGTGGATCTTGGGCAGTTGTTTGTGCATTGATCAGTGGATCTTGGGCAGTTGTTTGTGCATTGATCAGTGGATCTTGGGCAGTTGTTTGTGCATTGATCAGTGGATCTTAGGCAGTTGTTTGTGCATTGATCAGTGGATCTTGGGCAGTTGTTTGTGCATTGATCAGTGGATCTTAGGCAGTTGTTTGTGCATTGATCACTGGATCTTGGGCAGTTGTTTGTGCATTGATCAGTGGATCTTGGGCAGTTGTTTGTGCATTGATCAATGGATCTTAGGCAGTTGTTTGTGCATTGATCACTGGATCTTGGGCAGTTGTTTGTGCATTGATCAGTGGATCTTGGGCAGTTGTTTGTGCATTGATCAGTGGATCTTGGGCAGTTGTTTGTGCATTGATCAGTGGATCTTGGGCAGTTGTTTGTGCATTGATCAGTGGATCTTAGGCAGTTGTTTGTGCATTGATCAGTGGATCTTGGGCAGTTGTTTGTGCATTGATCAGTGGATCTTAGGCAGTTGTTTGTGCATTGATCAGTGGATCTTGGGCAGTTGTTTGTGCATTGATCAGTGGATCTTAGGCAGTTGTTTGTGCATTGATCAGTGGATCTTAGGCAGTTGTTTGTGTATTGATCAGTGGATCTTAGGCAGTTGTTTGTGCATTGATCAGTGGATCTTAGGCAGTTGTTTGTGCATTGATCAGTGGATCTTGGGCAGTTGTTTGTGCATTGATCAGTGGATCTTAGGCAGTTGTTTGTGCATTGATCAGTGGATCTTAGGCAGTTGTTTGTGTATTGATCAGTGGATCTTAGGCAGTTGTTTGTGCATTGATCAGTGGATCTTAGGCAGTTGTTTGTGCATTGATCAGTGGATCTTAGGCAGTTGTTTGTGCATTGATCAGTGGATCTTAGGCAGTTGTTTGTGCATTGATCACTGGATCTTAGGCAGTTGTTTGTGCATTGATCAGTGGATCTTGGGCAGTTGTTTGTGCATTGATCAGTGGATCTTAGGCAGTTGTTTGTGCATTGATCACTGGATCTTAGGCAGTTGTTTGTGCATTGATCAGTGGATCTTAGGCAGTTGTTTGTGCATTGATCAGTGGATCTTAGGCAGTTGTTTGTGTATTGATCAGTGGATCTTAGGCAGTTGTTTGTGCATTGATCAGTGGATCTTAGGCAGTTGTTTGTGCATTGATCAGTGGATCTTAGGCAGTTGTTTGTGTATTGATCAGTGGATCTTAGGCAGTTGTTTGTGCATTGATCAGTGGATCTTAGGCAGTTGTTTGTGCATTGATCAGTGGATCTTAGGCAGTTGTTTGTGCATTGATCAGTGGATCTTAGGCAGTTGTTTGTGCATTGATCAGTGGATCTTAGGCAGTTGTTTGTGCATTGATCAGTGGATCTTAGGCAGTTGTTTGTGCATTGATCAGTGGATCTTGGGCAGTTGTTTGTGCATTGACTTAGGCAGTTGTTTGTGCATTGATCAGTGGATCTTAGGCAGTTGTTTGTGCATTGATCAGTGGATCTTAGGCAGTTGTTTGTGCATTGATCAGTGGATCTTAGGCAGTTGTTTGTGCATTGATCAGTGGATCTTGGGCAGTTGTTTGTGCATTGATCAGTGGATCTTAGGCAGTTGTTTGTGCATTGATCAGTGGATCTTAGGCAGTTGTTTGTGCATTGATCAGTGGATCTTAGGCAGTTGTTTGTGTATTGATCAGTGGATCTTAGGCAGTTGTTTGTGCATTGATCAGTGGATCTTAGGCAGTTGTTTGTGCATTGATCAGTGGATCTTAGGCAGTTGTTTGTGCATTGATCAGTGGATCTTAGGCAGTTGTTTGTGCATTGATCACTGGATCTTAGGCAGTTGTTTGTGCATTGATCAGTGGATCTTGGGCAGTTGTTTGTGCATTGATCAGTGGATCTTAGGCAGTTGTTTGTGCATTGATCACTGGATCTTAGGCAGTTGTTTGTGCATTGATCAGTGGATCTTAGGCAGTTGTTTGTGCATTGATCAGTGGATCTTAGGCAGTTGTTTGTGTATTGATCAGTGGATCTTAGGCAGTTGTTTGTGCATTGATCAGTGGATCTTAGGCAGTTGTTTGTGCATTGATCAGTGGATCTTAGGCAGTTGTTTGTGTATTGATCAGTGGATCTTAGGCAGTTGTTTGTGCATTGATCAGTGGATCTTAGGCAGTTGTTTGTGCATTGATCAGTGGATCTTAGGCAGTTGTTTGTGCATTGATCAGTGGATCTTGGGCAGTTGTTTGTGCATTGATCAGTGGATCTTAGGCAGTTGTTTGTGCATTGATCAGTGGATCTTAGGCAGTTGTTTGTGTATTGATCAGTGGATCTTAGGCAGTTGTTTGTGCATTGATCAGTGGATCTTAGGCAGTTGTTTGTGCATTGATCAGTGGATCTTAGGCAGTTGTTTGTGCATTGATCAGTGGATCTTAGGCAGTTGTTTGTGCATTGATCACTGGATCTTAGGCAGTTGTTTGTGCATTGATCAGTGGATCTTGGGCAGTTGTTTGTGCATTGATCAGTGGATCTTAGGCAGTTGTTTGTGCATTGATCACTGGATCTTAGGCAGTTGTTTGTGCATTGATCAGTGGATCTTAGGCAGTTGTTTGTGCATTGATCAGTGGATCTTAGGCAGTTGTTTGTGTATTGATCAGTGGATCTTAGGCAGTTGTTTGTGCATTGATCAGTGGATCTTGGGCAGTTGTTTGTGCATTGATCAGTGGATCTTAGACAGTTGTTTGTGCATTGATCACTGGATCTTAGGCAGTTGTTTGTGCATTGATCAGTGGATCTTAGGCAGTTGTTTGTGCATTGATCAGTGGATCTTAGGCAGTTGTTTGTGTATTGATCAGTGGATCTTAGGCAGTTGTTTGTGCATTGATCAGTGGATCTTAGGCAGTTGTTTGTGCATTGATCAGTGGATCTTAGGCAGTTGTTTGTGCATTGATCAGTGGATCTTAGGCAGTTGTTTGTGCATTGATCAGTGGATCTTAGGCAGTTGTTTGTGCATTGATCAGTGGATCTTAGGCAGTTGTTTGTGCATTGATCAGTGGATCTTGGGCAGTTGTTTGTGCATTGACTTAGGCAGTTGTTTGTGCATTGATCAGTGGATCTTAGGCAGTTGTTTGTGCATTGATCAGTGGATCTTGGGCAGTTGTTTGTGCATTGATCCGTGGATCTTAGGCAGTTTGATCAGTGGATCTTCGGCAGTTGTTTGTGCATTGATCAGTGGATCTTGGGCAGTTGTTTGTGCATTGATCAGTGGGTCTTCGGCAGTTGTTTGTGCATTGATCAGTGGAGTAATGTATATTGCTGATGAAGTGATTATAACAAGTTTATTATATTGATAACGAGTTGTGCATTGATACGATATTTCCGTGTACATAGTATAGTATAATACTTATAATCCACCAAGCCATTGATTCACTAGGTTCCTTTCTAGTGAATCCGATGGTTCCTTTCGGCTCACTAGGTACTGTGGCTCACCGTACACAAGGTGTAGTGCCTGGTGGATACTGTGGCTCCCCGTACACAAGGTGTAGTGCCTGGTGGATACTGTGGCTCACCGTACACAAGGTGTAGTGCCTGGTGGATACTGTGGCTCCCCGTACACAAGGTTCAGATGCCTGGTGGATACTGTGGCTCCCCGTACACAAGGTGTAGTGCCTGGTGGA